CAATTTTAATTGTTGGAGGAGGATGTCTTTTAGTCCTCCACTTTCCTTACCACTCATATAATTTCATATCATTAGTACCACCGATGATCAGCGTACATTCTGCGCATTTGCTCCAGGAGTTCCTGACACTTGTTGGTCCGTATTTGTCCGAAAGCTTAGAATGGATAGTTCCAGTAAATCTTGCATGTTTCGTTTTCCACCAGTGAAAAGAAAAGAACGGTGATGTATTATCTCTACCTGTTGCGTCTCAAAAGTGGTTCACTCGGCCCTATAAGTTTTTATTTTTTCAGATGAAAAAACTAAATTTGGTATGTTAGTATATGACATAAATTAGGATTGATTGACGTATTCAATTATTTTCGCCCACTTCCTGGTTTATCGGAAATGACTATGCTACAACCTTTTGATTTTTAAATGGCACCTCGGTATTTTGTTACTTTATTCGATAGAAAATGACACTCTGAATAGAATGGCATATCATATGTCAACTTTTGACATATTTGCTTTAGAAAATAAAAAAAACTTTTGACATTTTCGAATATGGTTTATTTGCAACATAATGACAATTTGACTCGAAATACCAAGTGTGTGGTACCCAATTATTCGCAAAAAAATGCTTTTTCCAAATATGCTAATGGGCCACCATCGTTCCATTTGAATAAATTGCGGTTTGATTAAAAATACGATTTGTGCTGTCTTTTGACAGGCCAGGATAAGACACCAAAAACATTAGACAATTAAATCAATTTTTACAAGGCTCTTTGATTAAAAAATTAGTGATTTTAACACAGGCATATCACTCTAGATTGAAATTTAAAATACAAGTTTGTTTTAAGAGCAAATGTCAAAAGTTGACATATGTTATGTCAATGTATTCAAAGTGTCATTTTCTGTCGAATAATTTAAAAGAATACCGAGGGTGCCATTTAAAAATCAAAAGAGGTAGACGTTTCCGGTGAAACAGGAAGTGGCCGAAAAGAATTCAATACGTCGATCAGTCTTAATTTATGTCATATGTTATGTTATCTCTGGTCATATACCATGATACAAAGAAAACAATGTGTGGTATTGCGCAGGTTGGTCACTACTATGGTCACAGATGATAACAGCACCATTGGTCGGCAAGCTCCGCGCGCCAATTTCAAATCGTCAAACTGATAACACATAAAAATGTAAAAATTAATTTTCAAATGTCAAACTCAATGACTTCACATAACTTTTGAGGTTATGCCCTAACTCTTCCCTATTTTAGGTCTTTTTTATTAGTGGCAATTGAACAATATGGATATTTTTTGTATGGCGTATGATGTCACTTGGGATATGCCAAACCAAACCAAACCAAACCAAACTGAACGAAATTGGAACCGCTATCGATCATACCTTGTTTTCTTTGTATCATGGTCATATACTAACATACCAAAATTCGTTTTTATGTGAAAAAATAAAAAAGTTATAGAGGTGAGCCGCTTTTGAGACACACCCTGTATAGAAATATATTTAAGACAAACAGTTTTAAATAAGTGTATTCCTGTCCTGAGGAAGTCAATATATTTGTCGAAGCGTTGACACTAAATAATTTTCGTAACTTTTTTATAGTGGCGGCTTTAATTATTTTGGGGTCACTAAAACAACGAAATATATTTATTATATTGAAAAAGTATATATTAAGCGGTTAAGCAACACCACAGACTAACTTAGAAGTCTGGGCCTTTTTCTTCTTTGTTACGTAAAATTTTTTAAATATAATATCTAGAATAGTATCATTACTGGCTTTAAAAATATAAATAATATAATAACAAAAAAAGTTTATAAATAATATAGTATCTTGTACTTATACATATAAATTATTAAAGCTAACATATCGTAACTATTAAAGCGGGAATGCATTAGGCGGTCGGGGTTTGTCACATCACAACCTGCAGCCTCACTCTGCTTCAAAATAGGGTTTCTAATCGAGATGCAACGTTACCTCGACCACCGAATGCGTTCCCGCCTCTAAGATGCCTTTAGATTTGAGTATTCACACACTGATCCACCGTGTATTCTGAAGTTTAAAAATTACCGATTCAAAATAGCGTGGAGCAATAACAATATTTTACTGCTATTGCAGAAATTTGAAATACTTCCGATTTTACGGAAGACCACGAAAAAAAAAATATAATGTGTGGCAAATTATAAATAATGGCTATTTATAAATAATTTAAGGTAAACGTTCTCTGGATGATATCCATTTTCCAAGATTTGAAATTAATTTAAATATTTTTGTGCGTTATCAAGTTAAGCTGATATTCGAAATAAGTTTTTTTGGTGAATGTAGGTATGTCTTTCACTAACTCAAGTAATATACTTGCTAGTATTTATTCTGCGCTGTCGATTATTAACGCACTACTACCAAGTCCATGCGTCGAAATGTACCGGGTGTCCCACTAAGAATAGCTCTCGGCTGTATCTCGGAAAGTATTAGCCGTAGGGTTTACGGAAAAAAAATATTTATAACTAAAGAGGCTATGAAAAATTGCTGGAAATTATTTTCAAGTTTGTAGAACGACAGCTAGGGGGCGCAACTGCAACAAAAAATATGAAAATGGAGTTTTTACACAATTTTGCCTAGATAAGGTGAAGGTAATAGGTTATAAGTAATAGGTTCACAATCTTTAGTAAATTTTGAATATTTCTTGTTAGAGCCATTTTCCCCTATCTACCAAAATAAAGTGGTGGGGGAAGGTTAGATCTGTGTTTATTTAAATATTAATAACTCTGGACTCGATGATCGGAATCCAACAAGCGAGGGCTCGTTTAAAAGAGCGTTGCTTACTCTATATTGTACCAATAACAATAATAATAAGCTTTTGAACGTAGACGCTAGGGGGTGTTGTCTTACAATTTAACAAACATTGCGCATAGTAACTAGTAGTAAAGAGTAGTAAAAGCTTAAAAAAAAAGCTACATAGTAAAGAGTAGTAAAAGCTTAAAAAGTCAGCGAAAACCGAATTTTGATATCTTCTTTCAAACCGAAGATATTAGCAAAATTATAATAAATACCAAAAAATAAGCCCTTAATTACCTTATTTTTACCACACGGTATCAGTAGCCCTTTTAATTATGCCCATTCTAACAAAAAATAAGATAGAAACAGTTAGTTTATTTTAAAATCGACGAAATACCAGAATACCATAATACCAGAGGTATATCTAATAATTAAGATATTAATAACAGTGAACAAGAAACGATGATTCAGTGAAGTCATGGTAGACTTTGGAAATATGTTGCTTTTGACGTAATAGTATAAACGCCAAATTGTAATTAAATCAACATTTTGATAGTCTTATCAGCGTTTTTTATCTTTTAATTGCTTTTTCAAAATGCCTTTATTATTTGGAATAGTTGAAGTTGTTGGCATTTTGAAAAAGCAATCAAAAGATAAAAAACGCTGATAAGACTATCAAAATGTTGATCTAATAACAATTTGACACTTATACTATTACGTCAAAAGCAACTTTTTTCCAAAGCCTACCATGACTTCACTGAATCATCGTTTCTTGTTCACTGTTATTAATATCTTAATTATTAGATATTAGTACCTCTGGTATTATGGTATTTCGTCGATTTTAAAACAAACTAACTGTTTCTATCTTATTTTTTTGTTAGAATGGGCATAATAAATAATAAGAAAATATTTTACTCGAAATATGCACAAAATATTTATTTTTAACAATTATTGTTTATTATTTTGGTAGATATTTTAGAGTAGTAGCAGATACTTTACTATTATGTTTTGGGATTTTCCAGTATTTACCGGTTGGCAAAGTGCATATTAAATTATTTTTTAAGATATTTGCATTTTTTAAATAGCATGTTTGGCTTTTTAGATGTTTGTATTTATCTTTAACTACCTACCTGGAAAGTCCGAATTTTATCGTCAGGTAATAAATATATGTGCATACAACTTGTTCTGCTATTGACAAGTTTTTTAGAGTTTTCACTAAGTTTTATGTAACAGTAAATATAACAATTGACGAGCACATGGGAAAAACGATGAGTATCCAGAAATGATAAATGTTCAGGAAAGCGTTTTTTTAATTCAAATTACGCATGGACTTTTATATCGTTTTTCCCATTTTTAAATGTCTGTTTCTATGTGACCCTTATCGATATTCCCGTTTATTTAGGTACCAAAAGGTGTAGCCCCCCCCCCTTTTTTTGGTACTTTCATTGTTTTTCCCGTGTGCTCTTCAACTAGTAATAGATATTGTAATAAATTATAATTGCATATTTCTTAAGTTATAGCATGCTTTGCATTTTAGCTGTTTGCATTTAACTTGAATTATCTACCTTTTTATCAAAAGATAATAAAAAGTACTTGGATACAACTTGTCTTGCCATTGTCAATTTTTTTTTCAGTTTTTGCTAAATTTTATCAAACATTGAAATTTATTACACATTTAACTACTAACAGTCATAATTACTGTTCATTATAATCATAAAATTTAGAAAAAATCCCAAAAAAATTGACAATGGCAACACAAGTTGTATGCAAAAAAACATAAGTCATTTTATATTTCGAGAATAACAGCTCCCAAAGAAAAACTAGTTACGCCACTGCATTCTACGTGAAAATGTCTACTGGCCTCAGTATTCACGTTTTCAATAAGTTATGAGATAACCGCCCTGTAAATTTCGCCCTGTATTTCAGAAACTAAGAGTGCTAGGACAAATCTATGCGTCGAAGTCTACAATCATCTTTAGTTTCATAAAAAAGTAGCACAGTGATGTGAAAGCCGCATCTTTGTATCTCTACTCATAAGCGAGATACCCGTAAAACATACAAAAATAGGACACCCTGTATGTATTAATTTAAAAGCCTCTTGCAAATTAATTTATGCTCAGTGCGTGCAATCTCAGGTCTAAACGTACCTCTACAATTTTATACATTTAAATATTATTAACTAATTAAAATACTAATATTAAAAACTTTTTAATGGTAAAATTATACTGGAATGTTATTCAGTGAATTCTAATACTTTATTTATTGAATTTGTCTTTTGGTGCTACAATATTTCCTTTGTAAGTTATGAACTTATATTTAATATGTTATAAAATTAATTTTTAAGCGGTTTTAAACAACACTTATTATGGATCTCCCTATTCACAATTGAGTAACACAAAAGTAATGATTCACTAATATTAGAGTAACTATGTTAGAATTTCGTCATTTTTAATCATTTTCTTTTGCTTTCTTTGTAACCATGTTTTCTAATTCCTCCAAATCTTCTGGATCTAAATCACTGTCGCCATATCCCCAGATATAACTACCATCACCACTCCTGTGGGCTCTCCTACTGATCATTTTTTTCGAAACACTTTTGAGATCGTATGCCCATCCGACTTTGGCAAAGAAATCAATAAATGTTGTTGAAGGATTCCAGCTATTGCCTAGAATTGAAAATAGATATGTATAATACTGAGAAAACGTATTTGTATACTGGATGTAATCTGGATTTACTAGATATGAATTATTACATATAAAAAAGATGGTTCAGGTTTCTCATAATAATATTTTTTTCTGGCGCTTTCAATGTCAAATCAAAAAATCTTTATTTCTGAATTATATTTTAATTACGAAGATCCACTAATATTTTAAATATTTACAATATAGGCAACTCGGTTACATATATACACGGGTTACACAGTATATGTGTAATATGTGATAATAATTAAAACTAAAGTATTTAATGCAGGTATTTGTGAATTATAATAACAATACCTAGTTCTCCTGTTTTATAATCCCAAGGAAATACGTGATGGTAATTATGCCAGCCTTCACCTAAAGCAGCTATGGATACTGCCAAATTTTCAACAGGACTAATAAACCTGAAAAAAACGGAGTTATTATTTTTAAAAATTTCTAATAGCGGTTAGTATACATATATAGTTACATATTTCTTTTAAATATTTTAACATTGAAAATGTTTCTGTTATCCTATATAAGGGAGCCCAAATCGAATTAAAATGCTACATTTGCCATACCATGACGTCATATATACAAGGGTATAGGAAATCTCGGCGCAGCGGCGGCAGTCGGCCAGCGCGCGCAAAAACCATTACATCGCTAATTGTTTATTGATATATCTTTATTAGTTTAAAAGCAAAAAATATGGGGTTTGCTTTGATACCTTGTCAAGACATAAGCGAAACTTTTAAATTGTTTCTTTTTTCATTTAGGCCTTCGTTTTTCGTTAAATGAAAGTTATATTAAAAAAATCTATTTTTAAACCAAATTTTCGCATGATTGAAATGGTTATTCATGTTTAAAGTTTTTTTTGGTCATAAGCGCTAATGGAAATGTTTTTTGTAAATAATTATAAAAAAATTACTCCTACGAAGACTTTATTGTGTACTGGATCAAAAAATAAGTATTTGTTTTCTCTATACGGTGGTATTAATATATCGATTTTTGATGATAGTGCCCTTTTACCCGGTCTAATTTTGTACTACTTTCGGAATAAGGGTCCCCATATCATGTACTGTACTTCCATCCCTGAAAAATTCAGCTTGTGACACCGAAGTGAGACGTAAAGTCAAAATAAGCTTTAATTTACCTACATCATAGGTAGGTGTAGGTACTCTAGGTATATTCTACCTAGACAGTAGCTGAACTAGCTGACAGTAGTAATTAATTTGTTATCCGATAAGTAGTTGTCATTATATAAGTTTAATCATCTTATACCTCCTATAACGGTAGGTTTTGGATTTTTCCTGATTGGTTTGTTAAACAAAAATATACTGGGCATATAAATGTCTGTTACAGGTTAATTCGTTAAAGAAATATGTTACACACATATTATTTTAATAATAATAGTATAATAGTAATGGCTATATTATGTTATAACACATACATATGTATTGAATGTACTTATTTTAACCAATGCATTGTTTTGTTTTTTTAATCTCACAAATAAGAAATGTTTTATAGTTTTTATTATAAAAAACAGTGATTATACAATTTATTTACACCCCTTACACTGTTTTCTGTAAGGGGTGTAACCAGGAGTATATTTCGTAACCTCTTACGATATAAGAGGGCACAAAGTGTTTTATTACTTAATGCTTAAAATTTAATAATATATTTGTACATAAAATAAAATAGACTAGAAAGTCAATTAATTAATATTGACGTAATTACTAAATAAGTACAAGATTTTTTTTCTAATTATTTTAGTGTATTTTTAGTCACCTAATTATAAAGGAGAGATATCCAACCATTGCATTATTTTACTCACAAATAAATGTTTTATGGTTTTTATTATAAAACAACGATTAATTTATTATACACCCCTTAACCCAAACACTCCAAGGAGGATATTTCGTGACCCCTTATTTAAAGTGGACAAGCTTTATTAGTCAATGTTTTAATTACCCAGCGTCTTTAATAAAAATCTAATGTAATTTTTCATAGAAATGATCTGACATAAAAAGCAAATTTTATCAAAAAACTTTTTGATTATCTACAAGGAGTAAACCGCTGACAAATGTCTGTATACTAATGCCAAAGTAATGCCAAAAATACAAATTAAATACCAAAATTTCTCATATAATGCCCCACTAATGCCAAGCTGATTCCAATATAATACCACTAATACCACGAATAATATGTAACACATTTGTTTCACGAATTAACCTGTAACAATACTGGTAGGTACGTGCACAGATTTTTTCCTAGGTAACTTAAAAGTCGTTAAAAAGTCTAATTATATTTAAAGAAGATATAATTCCAACAAATTACATTATAAGGCCAATAATGCACAAGTAATACCATTAAAATTTTAGCGTTTTTAACTTGTGTAACATATTTCTTTAACGAATTAACCTGTAACAATAGTGGTAGGTACGCGCACAGATTTTTTCGCTAGGTAACTTATTAAGTCGTTAAACAGGCCTATAAAAGCTATAACAACATAGGTAACTAATATTTATAATTTAATTCGAGTTTTAATCTCAAATAATAAATGTTTTTACTGGTGTATTTCTGAAGTGTTCATTATTAAAAGTAGATATTCTTCAAGTTATGCGAAGTAATAAGTAATGTTTCCGGTGAGACCGCGTATATGTCACCGGATTCTGGTTAGTATAAAGACTTTTTCTATAGAAAGAGTTTTTTCTATATTTTCCTTTCAAAATAAGACTAATTTCTTCTTATTCTTTTAAATATTACAGTGTTTCTTTTTCCTAAAATGTTATACTTAATTTTCGCTTAAAATTAAAAAATCACAAATGGAGGAAAATATACGTTATTGAATAAAGTTTATACAAATCACTTTACCATAACAAAAAAGTAAAAACATGTCATGGCGGAAGATATTCAGGTGGCATTTCACACATTTATCTATTAAAATCGAGATTAAAATAATAAACTTGCGTAACATGTTATACACGAGATAGAAAGTTTCAGAATCGATTAATACGCAATACGCTACGCAGTCAACTTATTCCTATGCGCGGATGAGCGTCTTCAAGACTCTTCCTTCGGCCAGGGTCACGACGCCGCCGAAGAGGAATCGGCCTACGTTTGGCTAAACAGGCTGGACACGGTGGAGTACGATATTGGCGAGTCTGAATATTTATAAAAATTTGCAAAGTAAAATATGTTGGAAAAATAATTAATCCATACATATATAAAAGCTCAAAGGGTTTTTTTGTTGCATCCATCCCGCCGAAACCGCTTTACCAATCTTGATGATTCTTTTTTTAAATGAAAGGTATATATGTGTAGATTTGTTATGAAGTATTTTTATAGTGCTTAATGGCTATTTCTTTGTGTAAAACGACTAAATACTAAAACATACCTGAAAAACACCTACACACAATACCTCCAGAAATAAATTATTTGTCATTGTCAGTGGTGTGTCAGTTAGATTATATATTACGTTTTTAGATATTTTAGAGTGAGTTCATGCCGCCAGCTTTAGATACATAAATATTAGCACAAAGGTTCGTTTAAACGACATTAGTGAATTAGCTACACAAAGCGATTTTAGGAAATTCATCCTCTTAGAGAGTAAAATTATCTCGGAACAGTTTGTTGTATGAAAATTCCTTACTATTTGGTCTAGAAGAATGAAATCCTACAAAAAGAATTAGAAGAAATTTTTGAAATTCATCAACCAAATGGGTAAAGTTAGTAAAAATTTATATAAAACTTGGTGACTCTGGATTATACACATAAAAATTGGCACAAAGGTAAAAAGCGAATTTATGAAATTTATACCCTTAGGGAGTAGAATAGGGAATGAAAGTTTGCTGTACGAAAATGCAATACTATAACGTTATAAACCAGACAGTATAAAATTTTATACAAGGGTTTATTTAGTGACACCATAACGAAATATATCTTCCTCAATTATCCTTCAAAGAATAAAAAATAACCTATAAAGAGAGTATTAGTGCTCTTAATAAATAAAAAAAAGATGAAAAATAAAAAACATCTATGCTCACTAGCTCTCTATAAAGAAGTAAAAATCATTTAAATCAATGCATGAACGATTGGAGGTGTAACGCGAACGTAGTCGCGAGAAAAAGCTAGTAATTTATTAAATTATTTTATTTAACTCATTAATTTTCATTGAAAAGGAATTTTTGTAATTCGCCACTATATTAGTTAAAAACTAAGAAACTCATATCAAATTTAAGTTTTGCGATTTTGGCTTATACGTTTTACAAAATCTGAACACATTTTAAAAGAAAAAAAGTTTTTGATAATATTTGCGTAGATTGACTACAAGTTGTATAACATAAATTTCTACGACCGGTCTACCTAGTGGTCTGCAGCATCGCCTTGTGGTGCAAACGTGGGCATGTTAATCTGTGACGTGACGCACAACAGCCAAGAAAAACAGAAGCGTGGCTAAGAATTTAGTAATTTAAAAAAAGTCTGTTAGATACAGTAGTAGGTATTAAAAAGTTTTGTGTTTAAATGGGGTTTGCCTTTAACAGTTAAAAAATTATATCGTAAAGTGTAACTTTCCGTAAGAATTCTTTATCTGTCATTGATCATGATCTGTCATCATGTTAACCTGATGTTTTGTATGTTATTTTGTTTTTTTCGAGATATTTTTGCTTGCTTGTTTTACGGATAGGTGCGATCGATAATTATTATTGATAATGTTTTATTTAATGTTAACACTACTACTTTTTCAGTGAATCTTTAAATCTGTTGTTTTTTGTTAAGTTCGTTATTTAAACATATGTATGTAATACACTCATATTAACACTAATCATATTTTTACGTTTTTATTCATCATTTTCAATGCCCCCCCGGTTGCATCTTTGTAAAGGACTGTGAATTTTTTTAGTAATTTAATAGTATATTAAGTAACTTCATTATACAGGGTAATTAAAATTTGCCTCCAACCATTGGGACCTTGAAAACTATAGGAGATACGAGGGTAGTTAAATTAGGGCAAATTTGTGCATTAATGTGCGTAACAAGAGTCCGTAAAAAAACATTCTCCGAGTTGCTCCGAAGATATTCGAAAAAAAAACGAAAATTGAAGATTTGGATTTTATTTCTTTCTGACGTTATTTGACAAGGTATCCCAGAAGTATAAGCACATTTTCATTGGTAGTTTTTTTCCAGCTACACAACAGTGTTTTCAGATTTGTCATCCGACGATTCATTTGACCACCATCATTAACTCTTTTATACATCCAAATAGGTAATTAATTTCTATTCTAATGATTTATAACAATTTATTCGTTGAGACTTTAAAAGCCAATAATCTCAAGAAAAATGTTTTTTTCGATAGGCGCCTTTGTTTAAGCAAGTGTGAAACAAAAAACAGTGATTTGTCAAACGAGATTAGTTGCCATCTGTCATCTGATACAGATTTCTAGTGAAAATAGACTTTTCGTATGAAGAAAAATATCAACATGTTAAAACTTTATTGCACGATAGTCAGCATGTTAAAACTGTACGATCAACATGTTAAAACTGCACGATAGTCAGGCATATAGAGCGGGCAGATCCACAGAAACTTCTCTGTACCAATTAACGGAGCTAATACAGACAAGTCTGGATAGCAAGGAAACAGCAATTTGTGCCTTCTTGGATATTGCGGGATCGTTTAACAATATACCACATAAGGTGGTCAGGCGATCTCTAGAAACAAGAGGGGTGAACAAAACTTATTCGCTGGTTTTGGGAAATGCTGTCAACACGAACAGCAGAGGCTCAGATGGGCACCAAAATTGTACCTGTTAAAACAACGCAAGGAACTCCACAAGGTGAGTAACCTCCCCTTTGCTGTGGAGCTTGGTAGTGGATGAACTACTAGACGAATTAACTCTAGCGGGAATACACTGCATTGGGTATGAAAATGACATAGTCATGATCGCTAGGGGGAAGCATGAAGGCTCCCTGTGTGATATTATCCAAAGAGGACTCCGTATCACTGACAGTGGTACAGGACTGTCGGACTGCATCAATTCAGACAAAACTGCGATAGTGCCATTCACCAGAAAGCGAAGTCTGAAAAACTTGAAACGAATCTAACTAGATGGAAAGGAAATACTGCCATCACAGGAAGTCAAATATCTGGGAATAACCCTGGACAGTAAACTCCTGTGGAACAGGCATATTAAGAACATTCCCAGCACAGCCACAAAGGCTCTCATGATATGCAGAAGACTGGCCGGAAATAGATGGGGCTGTTCTCCTAACATTTTGCGCTGGATGTATACCATGATAGTAGGACCCATGATTATTTATGGAGTAGTTGCGTGGTACACAAAACTAGAGCAACGGACAGCAAGGCTAAACCAGTGCAAAGCCCAGAAACTGGCATGCGTTTGCATCACAGTAGCCATGAGAACCTGTCCAACAGCAGCAATGGAGGTCATTCTAGATCTAACACCACTGCACATTGTCAGATATGCCAATGCGACAATGATTAGAATGGTTACTAACGGAATCAGTACTGGGAGAATTGTCAGATCAGAGGCTTGGAATACCTTTAAAAAGGAAATACCACTCCTGCAATTCGCAGTGGATGATACGCCAAGAATGTACAACTTTGAGAAACATTTCAATGTAGTATTGAGCAATAGAAAGGATTGGAAGAGAGAAACGTCTGCTCAGCAGTTAAAAGACCATAACTTAGGTATACTGATGCTTCCAAAACCAATGTGGGAACAGGGATCGGTGTATTTGGGCCGAGAACTAAATACTCTTCTGAGAACTAAATAAATATTCGGATTGTTACGGGGTTTTTAACAGGTCTCCTCAATGAACACCTCAGTAGATTGAAACTAAGAAGAAGCGGCGAATGCAGATTCTGTGGGGAAGTTGGGAAACACCAGAACACCTCATCATTGAGTGCGCCGTGACGACAACCATTCGTGCCATGAAATGTGGTACGACTGATATTGGATGGAGAACTACCCTCTGTAAAACCGTCCCAGATACTGGCTTTTGTCAAAGCCCTGGGACTGTATGATGAGTTAGACATAAATCAAGAAAGGGGGACACAATACATCTGTAAGGTCGCAGAGATTAACCCCCTCCCACTCATGCTAAATTCTAAAAAAAATCTGCTTGTTACAACAGAGGATGCGATGGCAGGCACCAAATTGAAGGGTGACACAAAGAAATATTGCTTGATTGCTACTTGGGATATCAAGAATGCTTTTAATTCCTCTAATTGGTACTGCATTATGGGCCCTGAAAGAGGAAAGCGTACCAGGATAACTGCGTAGTAGAGGCATTAATCTAGGCTTCTAAAATACGACACCAAGAGCGGCCCAAAGGATTATAGAATAACTGGAGAAGAGCTTTAGGGTTCGGCCCTGGGTCCGTTTTTTTAGACTATTATGTACGATGGCCTACTGAATCTGGAAATGTAACTTAGGGTTGCCAACCGTCCTCTATTCCAGAGGATAGTCTGCTTTTTGATCTCATGTCCTCTTTTCTCTCATGTATTGAAAAAGTCCACTTTTTTACATACCAAACTCAAAATCTAAAATATATTCGTCTATCGCCACAATGCTTTAAAAAAATTCTTAACCTATGTCTTTGGCTACTCTCACTTGTTTGTCCAGAAAAGAAAACGAAGAAATATTTATCTATGAAATATAGAATAAATATATGTGGAAGCGATAAACATGTTTAACTATTTTATGTTTTCTTATTGTTGGCTTATGTCTTGAAAAAAAAGTTTTGTTCAAAATTGTTTATTTTATTTTAAGAAGTTTTGAGTATATGAGTATAAATATGTTTAAGAAAGTAAGAAATCACTTCAATCGCATACCGTTGACATCCTCCTAAGAATATAGCACCACCCAACGTTTTATACAATATAATATCAGATTTATACTCTCTGTTGCGTACTTTGCAGAAATAAAAATAAAAAGCATAATATAGAAATCTCACATAAATTATAATATATTTTTTATATATCTACCGGGTGCGGCTGAAAAGTGGCTCACCCCCTATCACTTTTTTATTTTTTCAGATAAAACAACGATATTTGGTATGCTAGTATATGACATAAATTAGGATTGATTGACATATTCAATTGTTTTCGATCACTCCCGGTTTCACCGGAAATGACTACAACTTATGTTTTCACTTTATTCGATAGAAAATGACACTCTGAATAGAATGACATATCATATGTCAACTTTTGACATTTTCGCATATGGTTTATTTGAAATTGTAAGGCTCATGACAACAATTTGATATTTAGATATGATTGAAAATACGATTTGGGCATCTTTTAAGCGGCCAAGACAAGACACTAAAAACATTAGACAATCAAATCTATTTTCCAAGGCTCTTTGCTTAAAAATTAGTGTTTTTGACACAGCCATGGCACCCTAGATAAATTTAAAATACAATTTGTTTTTGAGCGAATATGTCAAAAGTTGACATATGATACGTCATTCGATTCAGAGTGTCATTTTCTATCGAATAATGTAAAAAATACCGAGGGTGTCATTTAAAAATCAAAAGTTGTAGTTAGTTAGTTCCAGTGAAACCAACAATTGAATACGCCAAACAATCCTAATTTATGTCATATACTAACATACCAAATCTCGTTTTTTTATCTGAAAAAATAAAAAGATATAGGGGTGAACCAATTTTGAGACGCACCCGGTATATCAGGTATAATCATAATATTGAATTTGATATATTTATAATATCATAATAAACACTTATTAATAACCAGATATTAATTTTAATGAATGATTTGCTAATGTCTAATATAATTACCTGTCATATGGTTTTTGACCCCACATATGAGCAACACTATTTACAAAAAAAGCGATATTTAATGTAATGGAAAACCTCGTGTTGAAATTTATCCATAAAGAATTCCACAAACTCTCCTCCCAGAAATATATTGGAATAGATACGGGTACAAAAATCACAAATATAAAAAATAGAAGAGGATATAATCTAAAAAAGAATATTAGAATTAAATAAAGAATTAATATTTGAACTACAAGGAATTTTAAATCGTATGCGAAAAATATAACAAGTAGTGGCATTTAAAATTCATCGCTTCAGATTAATTTCGATATAATACTTAGTCAATTTTTTAATGTGAAATGTAAGCTTTGATAACGTATATTTTTAACCTTAGTTTCTAATTTATTATTCAATTCAAATTAATACACAAGACAGCTATGAAATGGCGATCTGTGCAAGGATTCTGGTGTCACTTGGTATAGAACTGTATTAATCACGATACTATAGGAAACAATATGAAACGTGTACCTTTTTTGCCACATTACTATGGAATCTTTTTCCAAATCACTCATGTCGATAAGTCTTCTTTTCTCAACCACTAATGGATGTGGAGTGAGTACTAACCAGCCGACGTGTGAGAAAAAAAATCCTCGCATTGCATTGTGAGGGTCGGCATCAGTCTCGCTATATTTATGATGAACACGATGATCCAACGCCCAAGCATATACGTGTCTCTGTAATATTAATGAAAATAAACAAATATTAGTATATTGTTTTATTGGGAGAAAAAATGATACTTACTGCTACTACTAGGCTGTATGTCAAATGTACAGCCTCGCCACAGAAAGTCATTTTTACTCCGAATAGAACATGCTATTTTTTTTTCAAACGCCACAAATTTTTTTTTTCAAACATCACACAAGTATTAATTTATTCGACTTGATTGACAACATAAAAAAGTCATTTTAACGTCTAGGCATAAAAGTCAAGCACTTTTACGCGTAACCATAAAGGTAGGAAAATATATTATTTAACCGACCAGGGGCGGATACAGAAATTTATTTTAGGGGGGGGGCAAACAAAAAATAATGCAAAATATGCCTTTTAGGGCGTCATTTTTTACCCAAAAGCCTAATATTTAACCCAATTTACAGATTTCAGGGGGGCCAGGGCCCAATGGACCCCCCCTCTGTATCCGACATAAAGTGTCATTAGTCAAGTTCAACTAGCGTAACCATTTTCCAGTTTCTCGATATATAGTTACATACAAGATATAACTATTAAATCTTTTTATATTATTTGGAATGTTTGAAATTGGTTAAAAAAAATATTTGTGGCGTATGAAAAAAAAGCATTTCTATTCGGAGTAAAAATGACTTCTTGTGCCTGGGCTGTATGTCGGACCAGTCATTTTTACTCCTAATAAAACAATATACTATTTTAAAGAATTTGAAACGTTCCAAATAATATAAAAATATTTAAAACTCATACCTTGTATGTTGTATGTAATTATATATCGAGAAACTATGGTTACGCTCGTTGAATTTGACACTTTGTCAGTTTAATAATATATTTTTTTCCATAGCAGTTGTGAAAATTTCCTTATATCTATCAAAAATAGTAGATACAATAGTACTTTAACCCCAAGGGTAGATTAAATGATACTTTAATAGCGAGGATAAGTTAAAAACTTTATTTCTTCTTGCACGTTTTATAATTGCTTCCATTTTTGAAAATTTTTGTATTCCATTTCATAAGTTATTAGGGATTTAAATGGAAGTAGTTTGGATATGGCGTTTGTCGCCTCAGCCTGAAGATCTGTTGGTAATTTACTTATTTCGTTTTGAGCCATTTCAGGCTCCAATTCGATCAGCAATCGCCACGAAAGAAAATTAAAAAATATTGACTCAAAGCTGACGACTAAAGAGACAGCTTTATTTATTTGTCAAATTACATATAGAAACCAAAGATAGAAACCAACGCCAACCCAGCACAATATTTTTTCTACTCGTAATAAATACCTTGAAATAATAATTTCTGAATATTTTAGAAGGTAACTCGCTATGGAAAAAAATATTGTTTTATACACGACGATAAAATTGCATTATCGTCTCCCGAAATTAATTCACTCGCGACTTCATCGCTCGTGTCGACGATAAAATACCATTTTATCGTCTTGCATAAAAAATAACTATTCGTACTTTTAAGCTTAGGCGTAAAAGTGCTTTACTTTTATGCCTAGGTGTTAAAATGACTTTTTTATATTGTCAATTACGTCGCAAAAATTAATACTTTTGTGACGTTTAAAAATATATTTTTTTCTATGAAATATAAGCATATGTAATATAAAACCGCGAATATCGTTAAAAATTTTCTTAAAAATAAAAAAAAATATCGATTTGGAACATCCTGTATGATTTACGATTAAGAAATTAAGTGGCTAGATATGAGTGAGAGAAGACGATTACATAGTCTAGTCCTTTATAATAAAATCATCTTTAAAAAACAACCTGAATACTTGTACCAAAAAATAAAATTTAGATTTGAGGCGCACAATCTAGATCTCCGGCATAAATTCTTGTTAACACCGCCTAAGCATAAAACGACCCTTTTTGAAAGGTCATTTAGCTATAACATAGCAGCTCTCTACAATGATGTCCCTATCAATTTAAAAAGCCTGAAAAGTTCAGATTGGAAGCTAAAAGACTGATAATAAGCCACGTTTCTTGATAAGTACATTATATCACATATATATATTTTTATTATTTTTTTTTGGTTGGTGCTTGTTGGATGTAAGCGGTTTAATTGTAAACTTTAAGATAGACTGTTTTCTTTTTTTTTTGTAATTGAATTTATTGTAGCTCTTTTTTTTGGAAAAAGTAGCAGGGTTTCTTTCTCTATGAATTTATAGGATTGATTATGCAGTGTATATTATATGTTTTTTTTATAAATGTATAGGTTAAGATAGGAAGCAATGCTTCAACTTCGCCTTTTGTAATACTTATGGATTACAATAAAGACTATTTATTATTATTATTATTATTAGGTACCATATTTATAGCAAAGTAAGTACAGACCATGTAAATATCTAATATAGTTTTGATTTCAGGACAGTTCTTGTATTTTTAATAATTTCTTTAAGACAAGCTGAAAAAAATATATTCTTTATTTATTTATTAATATCCCTGAAACTATCAAAATATATTTATTTATATCTTAAGATTATGTAAAATGATGTGAAAGGAAGCCAAAAATGAAATAATATACAGGTTGTTCCATTTAAAAAAACTCACACTTTTTTGAGCCTACATATTAATAATTTTCAGTAATGTTCAAAAATCATTTTGAAAAAATCTAAGTAGAAATGAAACTTGTTCACCCTTTTATCTTCGAAACAAAGCCATTTTAGGAAGTAAATTTATACGAACTTTATTACTTATTTTTAACTAATTAAATTAAAAAAACCGCAGGTTTAGTCGTGACTGACTAAGTTAATAAAACACTCAAAATTTAAGTGAGGATGTTTGCCAAGCTTTCGAGAATTTTATCCCCATCATCAGGACAGTTTCTAAAATGTATAAATAAAAAAAGGCATTAACATTTTACAATTGTATAACAGAAAAATCAACTTACGACTGAGGCAATTAGCAAAAACAACATCCTCTGCACAAAAAGGCATTAAAACTAGAATCATATGACATTGGACTACAAGAACATTTCCTTTATAAAATATTAAAATACATATCCAACGACACTACTTTTTAAAACATTTTTTTCTTAAACAATTTTATTTAAAGTTCTTAGTAAATTTTAAAAAAAATAGTCCAATGTCATATGATGCTAGTTTTAAGATTTAAAGAATTAAAAATGACTGGTAGAGAACGTCATTATAGAAGACTAGATAGTAATTTATATTTTCGATTAGTTACATTCATTTTGGATTGTGGAGGTTTGTAATTGTGGTAGAAATGTGCTGTAGATCGTGTAGATGTCGAAAGTAAATGTGACAGTAGATTAATCATTTTTTCTCAAGTTTATTTTGGTGTTATAATAAATGGCATACAAAATAAATTGGTGGCATTTATTTTCGACATACAATTTTATTTTTATTTTCAGTTTGAATATTTTCGCAGATTTTAGACATGCATATACACACTTTACAAGAAGTGGCTAAATTGACCTGAGTTACGTTAATTAAAAAAAATTATGATACAATCCACTTTAGATAGATACTTATAAAAATAATTCAAACCTTACTGTAGAGAAGGAAGATAGCGCTTGATTACCACTTATTTTTTAATTAAATTTTAGTTAAGTTATTTAAATTAAATTTAAGTTTCTCCACACATTTTTATTTAAAAATTTATATTGTGTTTATACAGGGTTCGGCAATAATGCGTCGGACATCTGTAGCTCGTAGAATAAAAAATTTGTGAATTTTGTTTATGTATGTACGAGGATGTATTTCAGGAAAATATTTTTAATTTCTATAGGGTGGCTCAAAAAAGTGTGTTTGGATAGGGGTGAATTTTTTAAATGGAACACCCTGTATATTATGGCATTTTTGGCTTTCTTTCAGATCACTTTACATAATCCTAAGATATGAGTAAATATGTAGCGATAATTTGAGAGGTATGAATAAATAAATAAATAATATATATTTTTACCTTCCTTAAAAAAAATATTACAAATACTAGAACTGTTCTAAAATCAAAACTATATTATATATTTACTTTAGATAGTCTATAGTTACTTTGCAATAAATATCGTACAATCTTAAATCATACAGGGTGTTGAAAATTGTACGCCAAACTTTCGAAAATATAAAATAATTTTTCTTTGTTTTTTTTTAATGGAACACCCTGTATATTATTCTATTATTAGATGGAGTTTCGCAGATACACGCAGTATTATTTCATATGGCTCTTTCAACGGTAAAATACAATTGAAAAATCATTGGGTGGCTTTGATAAAAATTTACTGTGGAAAATGCCATATGAAATATAAACCCGCAAATATCTGCGAAACCGTTAAAAATTTTGAAATACTCTAAATACAAAGAATTTTCATTTTTTTATTCTCCATCTACTGAAAAAATAATATACAGGGTGTTCCGTTTAAAAAATCAAAGAAAAATTCTTTTATATTTTAGCAAAGTTACCATCGAAGTACAGACCATCGAAAGTAAATACCTAATATAGTTTTGATTTCAGGGTTAATAATGTTTTAAAGAAAGGCTGAAAAATATATATTATATTTATTTATTAATATCTCTGAAGCTATCGAAATATATTTACTCCTATTTCAGGATTATGTAAAATGATCTGAAAAGAAGCCAAATGTAATAATATACAGGGTGTTCCATTTTAAAAAAATCATCCCGATCCACTCACAATTTTTTGAGCCACCCATAGAAGTGAACATATTTTCTTGAAATACATCCTAGTAAGTACTTTAGGTTTGAACTTAAGCAAAATTTCTTTTTTTTTAAGTTTTTTATTCTATAGGAGCTACGGATTTGCCGGACGCACTTTTGCCGGACCCTGTATAGTTTTTTTTGTGTATTTGGCGATAACAAGATATACCGTAAAAAAAGTTATTAATATTAAGAAAATTTAAAGATGAAATATGCTTATTATTGGTTAAGAAAATACATTGAAAACAGTGTCACGAAAAATTCTTCATCACTTAGGAAATTTTTTTTATTACAACTCACAAGTCAATAAATTAAGTA